TAAAAATTACCGTGAAACACGATCCATTTAGTTATAAACACTAGCATAAAGAGATGGATGAAAGTATTTTAAAAATTACCGTGAAACACGATCCATTAAGTTACAAACACTAGCATAAAGAGATGGATGAAAGTATTTTAAAAATTACCGTGAAACACGATCCATTAAGTTACAAACACTAGCATAAAGAGATGGCTGAAAGTATTTTAAAAATTACTGTGGAACACGATCCATTTAGTTGCACACAGTAGTATAAAGAGATGGCTGAAAGTATTTTAAAAATTACCGTGAAACACGATCGATTTAGTTATAAACACTAGCATAAACAGATGGCTGAAAGTATTTTAAAAGTTACCGTGGAAACACGATCCATTTAGTTACAAACACTAGCATAAAGAGATGGCTGAAAGTATTTTAAAAATTACCATGAAACACGATCCATTTAGTTATAAACACTAGCATAAAGAGATGGCTGAAAGTATTTTAAAAATTACCATGAAACACGATCCATTTAGTTATAAACACTAGCATAAAGAGATGGCTGAGAGTATTTTCAAAATGACCGTTGTCTAAAATTCATATTATTAAACATTATTGTAGTTTTTATTGTGTAATAAAAATTAAGGTAGAACCCTGAAACAGTTTGTATTCTAGTTTTATTATAACTAACGTTCCATTTTCCTTCGTGCAATGACGTTAAGATAATCACAGTGTTGTATCATCATTACGAAACCTACCATAATTTTATTTATACACAGGTTTACATATTTTATCAACATTATTTTTTCAGACAACCTAAAGTCTTTTTTAAAAGCGTATTTTAGTGGTTGGTCCCCTTTTAGAACCTATTTATTATTCAAACCATATTTAAATTTTTGCTGAAAAAACCCAGCTTATTTGGTTTTCCTGCAGCAGTTCATTTTATATGAAAGGATGACATTAATCTCCTGACGAGGTAAAGATCACAGGAAAAGCTTTTAAAATTCATCACGAGCTACATATCTATCTATCTATCGACCCATCCATCAGTGAAGAGGGTCGCGGGTTCGAATCCCTCTCACACCAAACATGCTCGCCCTTTTAGCCGTGGAGGCGTTATAATGTGACGGTCAATCCCACTATTCGTTGGTAAAAGAGTAGCCCAAGATTTGGCGGTGGGTGGTAATGACTAGCTGCCTTCCCTCTAGTCTTACACTGCTAAATTAGGGACGGCTAGCGCAGATAGCCCTCGTGTAGCTTTGCGCGAAATTCAAAAACAAACAAACCATCAGTGAAAAGACAAAATACATACAAACATATATATATATATATCAAAGGTAGTTTAGTTGAAATACTGATGTTTGCCAAATATCTTAGTTATGGTCGGTCTACGTACACTGATAGAATAAAGTATACTCATATTAGATTAAAAAGTTCTAGATAGTTTCAAACTAATAAGGAACGACTATTTATTTAATTTGAATAACTGTTCGTAGTCTGTATCACTGATCTAAGCAATATTAATATATATATATATATATATTAATCTTTATTTATATTTATCAATTACAATGCTGGCTTAATGTATTTTTATTTTTTGTTTCATTGGTACTTTAGATTGTTTGTTTGTCTGTTGTGCAGAAATACGCAACGGCTGTTATCTGCGCTAGCTGTTCATAATTTTTAATCGATTGGCTAGCTAGAGAGAAGATAAGAACCCACCACTAACTCTTGGGCTACTCTAATTGAATAGTGGAATTTGACCGTTACTCTTATAACGCACCCACGGCTGCAACGTGCGGAACGCGAACAGGGGACCCTAGGATTGATACTATGGCACGCTAACCATTAGGCCACGCCCCCATAGTCACAAAATGCGAAACGAGTTTTTGCGACAACGGGACGCGAACCACGGGCCCTCGGATTCACAGACTGGGCCGGGATCTCAAGAAATAAAATGAATAGTGCTATTTGCTTCAACAATTCCATCACATCAAAAATGTATGACATTTATTTATTAAGCGTTTATTCACTTCCTTAAAAACTTTTTTTTTGTTGCAAATCACAATTTTTACAACTAATTTTGGAAGTTATTTTATATTTGTACTTTCTGAGCTAAAGCCTAATTCTTGGACGAATTCCACGTAAAATAAAACATTTTTTTAGGGCCGGGAGGAGGAATATTAAACACTACTTTGTCTTATAATTTATGAAGAACAGACTTTAGTTGTTGCTTGTTACTAAGCGCAAAGGGCTCTATCCACCTCGAGTATCGAAACCTGGTTTCTAGTGGTATAAGTCCGCAGACATACCGCTGTGCCACTGGGGAGTCTGACTATAGTAACAAATGAATAATGTTTACGTTTAAAACAATACAAAATGTTGAACCATTCATCGGTGAACAACGCTAAGATTCGGGGTTCGATACTCTCAGTGGATACAGTAGATAGCCCAATGTGGTTTTGCTCTAAAATGAATAATGTTTACGTTTAAAACAATACAAAATGTTGAACCATTCATCCGTGAACAACGCTAAGATTCGGGGTTCGATACCCTCAGTGGATACAGTAGATAGCCCAATGTGGTTTTTGCTCTAAAACGAACAAACCGCGAACTTACAACTCGAAGCTTTCATCAAATAAGGGATACAAAGTTTTCTTTTGGACTTTGGTCTTCTGGGGTGGACACTCAGGATAGAGATGTCGTGGAACCAGCTCTATGATCACGAAAGGATCGCTGTAACCTAGAAAATGAAATCACAAATTTGGTATTCTATTTAATAAACCGGTTGAGTGATGAGTTTGATGATGAGAAAAACCAGACTGATTCTGTACGTACGTTACAACTTTCGAGATTTTATAAAAACATCTTTTTATTCACACACTAAAACTCATTTGTCATTTGAATACATTAAGGGAAAAAAAACCAGAGAGAATAATATCAATTTGTTTTTAAATCGGAGAGTTTTGTCAGTTTACATTTAAAGGGATATATATATATATATATGTCTTGGCTGTTTGAAGCTATGAAACGGAGACGAGATTGCTATCAGTTGCTTAGAGCAACTAGCATTATGAAAACGTACTTAGAAGTTAATATCTTACTGTTACTGTCTAACGGTATAAACGTACTTAGAAGTAAATATCTTACTGTTACTGTCTAACGGTATAAACGTACTTAGAAGTAAATATCTTACTGTTACTGTCTAACGGTATAAACGTACTTAGAAGTAAATATCTTACCGTTACTGTCTAACGGTATAAACGTACTTAGAAGTAAATATCTTACCGTTACTGTCTAACGGTCGTAGTTCTCGAGCATTCATTACTGAAATAAAACAAAAAAAAAACATATAAAGTCTCTTATGGATAAAATGTAAACGGTTCATAAAATCCCTCCAAATTTTGCTTTATTTTAACCATTCAATTGGCTTTATTTTTTTCAAATGAATTTTATTAGTTTAACTTTTCGTTTGTCTTTGGTTTCTTTTCATTACTGCGGCTTTAAGCACAGTTAAGATATTACACAGTTACACGTTTTAAACGATATTAATTAGTGTACGGGTTTTGTAGTAGAAAAATAAACAATTTAACGAAACTTATCGTTCATATAAATTAGTTTTGTGTAACGAAACCTTAGTGTATTCTGTTCATTCCGTGTACAGGCGTAAGACGCCACGTTCTATTGACGTTGTACTTCACGTGGTAATAAGAGTAGTGTGGTGGGCTGAGTTTTCATAAGGTACTTGGGGTGGGGAGAGTTGATGCCCCACACAACATTTTTTATTAAAGTCGGTGTATCTTTAGCAGAAACAGGTTGGGAACCACTGCTCCAGTCTCTTATACGGTATTGAATACCGACGTTAGTCAAAGAGTTTCTGGCTTTTAATGTAAAGAGCCTTTAATTCTGGGTTCTAGATAAGTTCAGAGACGATGGAATGTCGGCATGTTTGTTCTCTTGTCGTTTGATGTTTCAAATATAAACAAACATAACTTACCGTCTACACAGAGACTGTCAGAAGCAGGATTGAAAAGGGTTTTGACGGTTAGGTAGCCGAACTCTCCCTCCTGGGGACCCTCCTGTTCGACAAAAGATGAAATAAACGTGAGGAGAATCATGCGGAAAACTCAAAGGAAGTATGAACACGAAAGTAGGAAAACAAAAACAAAACAAATAGGTGAAAAGAAAGGTCTATCATCATCATCATCGAATTAAGGGTTAGAATATTGATATAGTTTACGTTACACTAAACCGACCGAGATGTCGAAAGAACGTGTAATTGTGATGACAGAATTGAACTGAATAGATTTAAATTCAGTGATAACACCTTGTATAACAGACTAGATTTTAACACTCCGTCCGTGCACTCCGAACCTAAATTTACGAACACTTCGTTCAAAGGACAAGCGATAAAATGTGGTCTCTGTTACTATAATGTGTTACACAAGTATTTGTTTATTTTGAGTACAAAGCCACGTAGGGGTATCCGCTGTATCCAACACAGGAAATCGAATCCCGGATTTTAGCGCTGTAAGTCCTTAGACTCACCGCTGTCCCATATAAAAGTGTTAAAATCTGGTCCGTATCACTACAAGGAGTAGCAAAAGTATTAAAATTTGGGCTGTATTACTACAAGTAGTACAGGTGTTAATATTTGGTCTATATCACTACAACTACTAGTACAGGTGTTAATATTTAATCTGTATTACTACAAGTAGTACAGGTGTTAATATTTGGTCCGTATTACTACAAGTAGTAGTACAGGTATTAATATTTAATCTCTATCACTACAACTACTAGTACAGGTGTTAATATTTGGTCTGTATCACTACAACTACTAGTACAGGTGTTAATATTTGGTCTGTATCACTACAACTACTAGTACAGGTGTTAATATTTGGTCCGTATTACTACAAGTAGTAGTACAGGTGTTAATATTTGGTCTGTATCACTACAACTACTAGTACAGGTGTTAATATTTGGCCTGTATTACTACAAGTAGTACAGGTGTTAATATTTGGTCCGTATTACTACTAGAAGTAGTACAGGTGTTAATATTTGGTCCGTATTACTACAAGTAGTAGTACAGGTATTAATATTTAATCTGTATCACTACAACTACTAGTACAGGTGTTAATATTTGGTCTGTATTACTACAACTACTAGTACAGGTGTTAATATTTGGTCTGTATTACTACAACTACTAGTACAGGTGTTAATATTTGGTCTGTATCACTACAACTACTAGTACAGGTTCGTATGGTTTCCGGACAGCGGGTGAGCATATTTGGTGTGAGGGGGATTCGAACTCGCGACCTACAGATTGCGAGTCGAGTGCCTTGACCACGTGACCATGCCGGGCCCACTACCTTGTACGGAAAAACAATAACAGATAAAAACTACCGTATATTAACTGAGGAGCGTCCCACTAAGCCTACTCTTCATATTTGTGAGCTCTTTTGTCTTACCTACATCGTATAATACAATTCGAGACAAATCTGAAAACACGGTGTATTAGCTATCCACAGTACTACAAGTGTTCTCTAATACTAAAGTCTACCTTTCATGGGCCTCAAGTGTGTAAGAACCCGAGGACCCTGAATCCCAGTCGTTGATGTGAAAACGTTATCCACTCATATCAAGTTAGGCGATTTAATCCTTGTTTTCTTGAATTTGGACTTGTTTTAAGAAAGTAATTCATTCATCCGAATTGTTCTCTTGAGATTTCCAGAATCTTTCCCCCGCCCCCACTTCCCTCCGTGTAAGACGAGCTGAACGTTCACAAGATAGGTACCTAATTTTCAGCTGGTGCTGGAAGCAGCCGTTATTTTAAATGATAGTCTAAGGTAACTTCAGGACAAGTTAGTTGTACACAAATTACTGAAACGAAACGCTATGGGCATACATTTTATCGACATCTAAGCCTATTTGACAAAAGCTTTCGCTGTAATACGACGCAGTGCTTCATTAGGGGCCGTACATTAAATTACGGGATATTTTAACTCTACTTGCTGGTTTCATCTTCTATGTTTACTGTATTTTTAGTTCGCCATCAACACGCATTTTCAGGTTTCTTATCTACTACTACTGGGCAAGACTAACTTCGACCTCTAATAACGTTCTGCTTGCAGTTATGCTTCACAACTACGTATTTTTTTTATAATTAATAAAATATATAAGGCTTAGTGGATTCACCCTTTGGACTCGTAATCGGATGATCGTGAGTTCGAGACTGGTCGCGTCATGCTGGTGTGTCATTCTTAGTTCAAATTGTTTTAGTCAACACAGATGCATAATGGGTACCAACTGTTAGCCGAGGATTAACCTGGAATGGACTGACGTCTCATCCAGGGGGAGGGGGATATGCTACCATTCTCATCGCTTGTACCAATTAATCCGGAGTTCAGCACCGGATCCTATGTGTCATTTCTGCATGGGAGGGATTTGACCTCACTTGATAAGGAACGAATGTTTAAAAAGTGGATATCTGGTATTTAGAACCTGAGCAGCATACTTATGCGCACGTGGGTTAAACAGCCAGGTCAGAGACCTCTGTATTTCAGGTAAAGCTCTCCCCAATATTTAACTAATGACCAGATGGTGGTCAACAGTATCGGATTTATCAGACTCTTGAAACGCCCACAAATTAAATTGCGAGTGTGTTCAGTTACATTTCATCTTGAACTTTGGATCTCTCGACTCACTAACTATCCAATTAAAAATCAACAACAAATGAATGACAAAGTAACATGCTTACATATTATTCTACATTTGAAGTTGCTGTTCTGTTTTAATACTGAGCTGTTCATTATAATCTTCTTTCGTAAGGTTTCGACAAAATCTACATTTTGTATTCACTTGATTGTCATGTACGATAAAAAGGGGGTACTAATGTAGTAACGAGACTACGAATGCTATGACAGGATCTTTTATTCTCAACGTTTCGACTACGAGTCTTCTTCAGAAGATTATGACACCGTATTTTTTAGTGTTGTTTGTTCTCTGCACATAAACACAAAATGTTATCACTTACAAATGATATTTTTTTTTAGGTGAAGGTGAATTAGGCCTAGTCCGATAGCTCTGTTATAATTGTTAGCCTTTAATGTTTATGAAACTTCCTGAATAACCAATGATTATTGTTTAACTGAAGATGAATTAGGCCTAGTCCGAAAACTCGGTTGTAAGTGTTAGCGTTTAGTATTTATGTAACTTCCTGGATAACGAATGATTATTGTTTACCCGAATATGAACTAAGCCTAGTCAGAAAACTCAGTTGTAAGTGTTAGCGTTTAGTATTTATGTAACTTCCTGGATAATCAATGATTATTGTTTACCCGAATATGAACTAAGCCTAGTCCGAAAACTTAATTGTAAGTGTTAGCGTTTAGTGTTTATGAAACTTCCTGGATAACCAATGATTATTGTTTACCTGGAGATGAACTAAGCCTAGTCCGAAAACTCGATTGTAAGTGTTAGTGTTTAGTATTTATGTAACTTCCTGGATAACCAATGATTATTGTTTACCTGGAGATGAACTAGGCCTAGTCCGAAAACTCAGTTGTAAGTGTTAGCGTTTAGTATTTATGTAACTTCCTGGATAATCAATGATTATTGTTTACCCGCACAAGTAAGTATAATTACAATGCCTTTTTTTTTCCTCAAAAATATAACGAAAATTACATAAAAACGGAAGTGGATACATTAACGAATGAACAAGAAACTTCACATCTTACCTGTTCTTCTATCCTCTGGCAGATATATTGTTGTATGAGCTGATTTGTCTCCGTCTTATGCAGGTTTAGGAACTGCTCAAGGTCCTAGTTAGAGAAGAAAAGATTTATCGCTATTCACTTAAGAATCAACTATACATTAGGCTTAATTCTAAACTATCGTAGTGTTGAAAGAAAATCAGTTAAAACGACAAACGAAATAGGGATGACTTACATGATAGGCAGGACAATAGAGCGCATCTAGAGATAAACCTATGTTGTCCGCATGGAAAAAATCCACTATATGTTTTAATGAATCCAGAAGTCGTTGAAAAAAGTTCATATTTTCCTGCAAGATTTTCATGGAATTAAAGTAATATGTATATTTATTAATTTTCTTTAAATAACAAAACGATAACTGGTTTGAAAGAGGAGATTACTGTCATATTTTCATGTTAATGCATACTTTTTTATTTGAATTACTACATTAATACATAAATTTGAGTCAAGAGACGAAACGAACAAACAGAATTATTAATCAGGTGGGTTGATAATAAAAATGACCTTGAAGGAATTAAGCTATGTAAAAAAGTAAATTTGAAAAGTTAATATTTGGAATTAATTTATGAAAAGCATACCGCATTAAAACTCAAACACGCGAAATGCAAGATTTATTTTATCACGCCGAAGCTGTGTGTTTCTTTGTTTTTTTCACTGTCGCGAGTGCAGAAAACGAAACTTTTACAGAATCTGACAACGAATGTATGTTTCTATGTAAGTTACCTAACGAATGTATGTTTCTATGTAAGTCACCTAACGAATGTACGTTTCTACGTAAGTTACCTAAATAATGTACGTTTCTGTGTAAGTTACCTAACGAATGTACGTTTCTATGTAAGTTACCTAACGAATGTACGTTTCTATGTAAGTTACCTAACGAATGTACGTTTCTGTGTAAGTTACCTAACGAATGTACGTTTCTGTGTAAGTTACCTAACGAATATACGTTTCTATGTAAGTCACCTAACGAATGTACGTTTCTACGTAAGTTACCTAAATAATGTACGTTTCTATGTAAGTTATCTAACGAATGTACGTTTTTATGTAAGTTACCTAACCAATGTACGTTTCTGTGTAAGTTACCTAACGAATGTACGTTTCTATGTAAGTTACCTAACGAATGTACGTTTCTATGTAAGTCACCTAACGAATGTACGTTTCTACGTAAGTTACCTAAAAAATGTATGTTTCTATGTAAGTCACCTAACGAATGTACGTTTCTACGTAAGTTACCTAACGAATGTACGTTTCTACGTAAGTTACCTAAATAATGTACGTTTCTGTGTAAGTTACCTAACGAATGTACGTTTCTACGTAAGTTACCTAAATAATGTACGTTTCTGTGTAAGTCACCTAACGAATGTACGTTTCTACGTAAGTTACCTAACGAATGTACGTTTCTACGTAAGTTACCTAAATAATGTACGTTTCTATGTAAGTT